CGATGCGCGATGCGCGATGCGCGATGCGCGATGCGCGATGCGCGAATCGCCACTATCTTCACGCCCCTGGAGGCGGCCTAGACAAGTTCCACGAGCCCTCTAGGCTAGGTGGTTTGGGGAATTAGTTGTTCCAACCCCTTTGTTCCCCATCGGGCATGTGGTGCTTCACTTCTCTAGATTGTATGCGCCCCCTCCCCAGCTCGACTGGCCTACGACCCGACTCTACGCCGACTTCTCCCCATCACCCATGACAACACACAATACAAGGTGCGTGTTGAGACACACCTGGATCAAGCTCAAGCATCCCGCGACCACGTTGTAGTATGTCTTTGACAAGGCCGAGGGGGGGCACCTGCGGTCCCCACGGTTGCAGGCGCAGGGCCCCTGTCGCAGCCAACTGCAACGTGCATGCTGCGGCAATCTCTTGGACCCTGCGCGGGCGCCCCACGATCATGCTGCTTTGATATTTGAAAGGGAGACCGGAAGGGGGGGGGGGGGGGGCTGGCACGCGCGGCGCACCTCGCGGGCGTCGCGCACCTGGCTGGTGTCCGTCGGTGAAGGCCCGCGCCTGTGCTGAGACTCGGGCGCCACTTCTGTGGTGAGAGGGCAGGTGGGCGTGACCGAGAAGGCCATCCCCCCCCTGCCCCGTCCCCCTGGGTCCCGAGGGGGCTCGCCGCGAGGTGTCAGAGGGCCCCTGTCGTCCCAAGGCGCCTCCAAAGGAGAGAGGGAGAGAGAGAGAGAGAGAGAGAGAGAAAAAAAAAAAGAGAGAGAGAGAGAGAGAGAAAGAGAAACCAACAAAAAGACAAGAGTAGGGGGCCACACGCGAACCCTACCCCTACCCCCCACGATTTCTGAGGGGGAGGGTGGGGTTCACTTCGTTCGGGAGGTCACGAGCGAAGTGAACCCCACCCTCCCCCTCAGAACTCGTGGGGGGTGGGGGTGGGGTTCGCGTGTGGCCCCCTGAAAAGAGAGATACATATAGTGTGTATATATATAAACGAGGCGTTCCACTTGCAGCCGACCGATGGTGTTGGAACACAACTCGATGGACTTGATCTTGACCTGTGCCGCGGCCCGCCCTCCCGATCCCCCCGCCTCCCGTCCCTGGTGTCACTCCTCATCTCTTCCCTCTCTCACGGACGACGGCCGTATCCGCATCCACACACCCTCGAGGTCTGGATGCCGAGGCGCGACCCCCACAAACACCCACGCGATCCCCCAGACACGATCCGCGCGGGGGCATCCGCGCAAAGCCGAGCCCGAACCGTGATCCCATAGGGCCGCGGTCGAGGAGCCCGGACCGCGAGGCCGTGCATTCGGATGCGTCTCCCGCCTGATGTCGTTCCCGTCGTGCTTGGGGACCACATCCCAAAACTAACTTCGAGCACCCAGGAAAAGCATCAAGACAGTGTCTGCCCGACACGCTGGCGAAGCGTCGAACCAGTGTCGCCGCCCAGGGCCCGACGCGTGAAAACCCCTCCAGCTTCGGTACGTTCATGGCGCTCGAAAGTCTGTCTGGTGATCAGGGCTACACTGCTACGAGTTTCTTGATAAGCGTCGGGGGGGCGTCACCCCCGCCGACAGCCCCACGTCGACCCCGTCGCGGGCAGCCATCGCGCGCCGAAGGCGCTCCGACCCCCGTCGCGGCGCGACGACGAAGCGCGGTCGACTCCCATCGGGGGAACCCCCCACGCTTATTAAGAAGCCCAGAGCAGGGAAAGAGCATCATAGCTCTCGCCTGCGACTCTCCAACCCCCCTGGACGCCCACAGGCCCCGCGGCGCCGCGCACGGAAGCCACAGCAGACACGAAACACGACGGGCTTTCGCTCTGCTCGGCGCCCCCCTCCCCGGGGCCTCTCGCACGGAGCCCAACCCTGAGACCCCAGGACGTCCATCGATTTTTGATGTGTGCACGTTACGCTTCCCATGGCAAACACATCGGAACCCAAGAAGCCCAGGGCACCACCTTTGGAGGCAAGCAAGGTATTTCTTGGCATGGGCCCCCACTGTACACCACCACCACCTCCCTCACCCCCTCTCTCTTCCATGACAGAGGAGAGGAAGAGGAGGGTAGAAGAGGGAGGAGGAATCGACGCGGGTGGTGGTGAACACTCTTGGGGCCCGCGCTCCCAGTGGCCGTTCGTGGGGCCACTGGGGCCGCCAAGGCACGCTGCGCGACCACTGCGGCAGGCTCCTGCCGGGACGACCTGCGCGGAGGGTGGGGCGGTGGGGCGGGCCTCCGTTGGAGGCCTACCCCACTGAACCACAACGACGAGCCTGAAAACGACCAACACGCAACCCAAAGACGCTAAAACAACGTAGCGTTTTTGTTGCGTCTTCGGCCGATCAAGCGCCCAGCCTGGAAAACGGACAAAAAATGCCCAGGGCGTGTTTAACATAAACCCTTGCCACCGCGGTTCGCCACGGCCGCCCACCGCGCTGTGGCCCTGCCGACCGCGCTCTGGCCCTGCACGCCTGGCTGATGCTGCCCGTCCGGCTGCTCATCGTCGAACTCTTCGGCATCTGAGCGTCCCTTCTTCCTCTCGGCCGTCACCCTTTCCCTCTTTGCACGCCGACCGATTCGCTAGTTAGTGCACCTACAGTCAAAACGTGTATTCAGGACGGGTGGGAAGGACACAAGACCCTTGGAGGCCGAAGTTGGATTTTTGGGGCGGGGGGCGGCCAGTGAAAACGGCGAAGGACGGGCCGCAGAGGCAAGGACTCAAGGGTACCCTAGATGAAGGCACGCGTCCTTACTAGGCGCGCCCTGGACGGCCGCGGCCCCCTGGCAGCCAAGATCGCTGGCCTGGAGCCGGCCGCCAGCGGCGTTCCGTCTGGAGCACCCGCGCCAGCGTCGCCGCCACGTCGGCACGGCACAAGCCGATCCAAACCTTGTAGTATAAGGGAGAGGAATAGGAGGAGGAGGAGGAGGAGGAGGAGGAGGAAGAGCAGGAGGAGGAGAGGAGGAGGAGGAGGAGGAGGAGGGGAGGGGGAGGGGGAGGGGGAGGGGTGGGGAGAGGAGGAGGGGGAGGTGGAGGAGGAGGAGGAGGAGGAGGGAGAAGGAGGAGGAGGAGAGGAAGAGGAGGGAGGAAGAAGGAGCAGCAGCAGCAGCAGCAGTAGCAGGAGGAGGAGGAGGAGGAGGCGGAGAGGAGGAGGAGGAGGAGGGAGGGGAGGAGGAGGGGGAGGGGGAAGGGGAGGGGGAGGAAGAGGAGGAGAGGAGAGGAGGAGGAGGAGGAGGAGGAGAGGAGGACGGAGGAGACGGAGGAGAAAAGAAGGAGGAGAAAAAGAAGGAGGAAGAGGAGGTGAAGAGGAGGAGGAGGAGGAGGAGGAGGAGGAGGAGGAGGGAGGAGGAGGCGAGAGGAGGAGGAGGAGCAGCAGCAGCGGCAGGAGGAGGAGGCGGAGGAGGAGGAGGGGGGGTGAGGGGGAGGGGGAAGGGGAGGGGAGGAGGAGGAGGCGGAGGAGGAGGAGGAGAGGAGGAGGAGGAAGAGGAGGAGGAGGAGGAGGAGGAGGAGGAGGAGGAGGAGGAGGAAGAAGAGAAGGAGCAGGAGGAGGAGACACGAGGAACGAGCTCAAGAGGCACCGTCTGCTCACAGACACAGCTCTAGACTAGAAGGAAGAAAACAAGCCCAATCAGTGACCCCCTTTCCAGGGTCCTGCCGGACTTTGCGTGCTTGCCTCCCAGCAGGCGGCCAAGGGCCCGCCGCCTGCTGGGGGGCAAGTCTTGGGGGTCAAGGCAGGGGGCCCCGAACGCCTCCCCCACCCTGACGGACCCGTACGCCCCGCACCGCCGACACCAGACGACCGTACCCGTGGCGGTAACGTCGTGTCCCCCAGGCGCGGTGAACCTCGGCGGCCCGCCACAGGCCCCCCAGAGCCCGAGGACACACCACCAGGGGCCCCAGCCTCGCCCTCGCGGGTAGGCACAGCCCCCCCCCCCCAGACGACCCCGCAGGGCCCAGGCCAGGCGAAGCCCCGTCCACAGACGGGCCCCCGTCCCCACGCCAGACGCCCCAACTCCAGACAGCCCAGCACCCGCAGGCCCCACCCACCGACGCCCCCAGCAGGCGGTTAACGGCGGCACCTTCGGTCGGTGCCACCCGCCAACTGTCGACGAGCCTCGGGTGTTCGGGCCGATCGCCTGCACTTCCTGCAGAAAAGACGCCCTCCGACCTCCACGAGGTCATGCTCGTGGAGCAGCAAGGATAGTTTGCATTCAGCAGGCGTCGGCATCTGTGCGCCAGCCGTGAGCACCGCGGCCTCGGCCTAGAGCTCAAGCTGGCAGCTTCGCTGGACCGCCCAGCCGAAATACTTGGCATACTGGGCGGCCGCTGGGAGACTCTCTTTGTAGAACCTCGCATGCCCTTCGGGGACCTTGATCGACAAGGCCCCCAGTTTGGCGAACAAGTCCGCCCACATGTTTCCCACGAGCCAGGGAGGGGGCGGAGGGTCCTCAGGGGCAGGAAAAAGAACCTCATCCTCTGCCATGTGGGCAGGGACCCAGGCAAACTGTGGCGGCTCGCGCTTCAGCCTCACGAGCTGTCTCCACACTCCTGGGTACGGAGCACTGGCACAAGCCACTTTTTCGACAGCACCGTCGCGCCAGAGTTCGCCCTCTTGGACGAAGCCGAGCAAATCACTGACCAGCAGCTTGACTGAGAGCACATGTTGTAACGCCCTCAGCCCAGCCAGTCTTTCGGCCCGTCCGACTGTCTGCTGTACGCCTGCGAGCCCGCCACACACACAGCGCGCACAGGGACACCATTGGCGTTCAGCATGACGGCTGACCAGCCACACCGACGCAGCTCTGGGGCATCATTGCGATATCCAGAGCCGCCAATAAAAAACACAATCACACCGGACTACTTTGGGCGAGCCCCAGTCTTCCCACGGGTCACTCGGCGGCTGCGGCACATCAGCGTTGGGCCACCGAGGGATTCCGATCGCGACAGCAAACGAGACGAGACCTTGCGAACCCGCGCCGAGAAGCCCCTGCTCCAACATGACGTCACGGGCCGCCGCCAAACACGGGTCGAGGCCACAGTCTTCCTCGTCCTCAAGCAGGCGCTGTGTCAGCGCAGGGCACTCGATGAAAGCATGACCGAGCGTCTCGGCCTCATGCGGACAAGCTCTGAGGAGGAGGAGGAGGAGGAGGAGGAGGAGGAGGAAGAGGAGGAAGGGGGGGGGAAGTTGGGGGAGGGGAAGGAAAAGGAGGAGGAGAAGGAGGAGGACGAGGAGGAGGAAGAGGAGACGATAGGATACCAAAGAAGACAAGGAGGACGAGGGCCAGACGAGACGTTCTAGACCCTCCCAGACCAGCCACGAAAGGGCGGCCTCTTGCCCAGACCACCTGGAACCCTCCAAGAAAGCTCCAATCTCAGACGCACCCCGCCAACAAAAATCAGATCCTCCTTTAATCATCAGATTCGGAGTAGCGTACCCCTTCTCCGTGGGAGCGTGACGCAACACGTTCGCCAAAACGTGGGCCAATGCGCTAAGACAGCACGCCACGTGTTGGCAAGGACGGCTTGAGCACAGCGCCCGCTGCGCATCAAAACGGGCGCATCGAGGCAGCCAAGACACCACCGTCACCACCGGTGCGAGGAGCCAGGGGGGGGCCACCATCACCACCGTCACCACCGCCACCACCAGTGCGAGGAACCAGAGGGGGGCCCCCTCGGTGGCGTGTCCCCCCTGCCCCGCTCGAGGCACCTCCAGCTCCGGCTCGGAGGGGCATCGCGTGCCATCGCTCGGGCGCCCGCTCCCCGCGCATGGCTTGGCGTCGTGCGCGCCTCGCTCTTCGCACGGCGATCCGAGAGGTGTGCCTCGGCGGCCCTCGCCGAGACGAAATAACATATGCACAAGCCCGAGCGATGAGGGTCGTGGCCGGCGGCACGTGCGCGGCGGCACGTGCGCGGCCTGGGGGGGGGGGACGCCACGAGATGAGAAGAGGCCCCATGAAGTCTGAGGAAATGTCATGGCCCCCGCCACGAGGAGGAGGAGGAGGAGGAGGAGGAGGAGGAAGAGGAGGAGGAGGAGCCCCCCCCTAGACATCGCCCCCCTCCTGGCCGCCCCCGATCACGGGCCTCCTCGCCTGCGGCGCCCACCCCCCCCTGGTGATGGTGGCTGCCGCGTCTCCTGCTGCCGATCTCCCACTCTTGATCGAGGGGCTCCCATGTTTGCGCTCCGTCCCTCCTCCTCCTCCTCCTCCTCCTCCTCCTCCTCCTCCTCCTCCACTCTTGATCGAGGGGCTTCCTATGTTCGCGCTCCGCGCTGAGCACCACGCGAACAACTTCGTGCTCTCGCACCGCCTCCGCCTTGGGGGAGAGGAAGACGGAGGACGGAGGATTACAGTGGAGGCCAGTCCACAAGAGACCTTCCACAAGAAACCCAGCCCTGAGACCCCAGGACGTCCATGGATGCTTGGTGTGGGACCGTCACGCTATCCATGGCAAAACCATCGAACCCCCCCAAAAAAAAACCCAGGGCACCCTGGAGGCAAGCGGGGTGTTTCTTGGCATGGGTCTCCACTGCATGTTCGCGCTCCGCGCTGCGCACATCGCGAAGAACTTCGTGCCCTCGCACCGCCTCCGCCTTTGGGGACAGGAGGAGGACGGAGGGCGAGGGATGCAGGGAGGGCGAGGGACGAGGGGGACGATGGAGAGGGCCACATCGCGAACCACGAAGCGCGACAAGTGTCGTGCCCTCATGGGAGCCCTGGCTCCCTCCAAGATCATACATCACATCTTGAACCGTATTGATCACATTTTCTTCCTGCTCCCTTTTTCTCGCTTCTCTCCTCGTCATCCCTCATCCCTCGTCCTCCTCCCTTCTCCTCTCTCCTCCTCTCCTTTTCCTGTCCTCCTTCTCCAACACACAATTCCTCCTCCTCCTCCTCGCCCGTCATCCTTCTCCTCCTTCTCCTTTCCGTGTCCTCCTCTCTGTAGCAACGCACAACCAAGAATACACAGTGGTTGGTGCCCTCGGTGCAAGGAAACGCTGTGTATGCTTGATTTGTCTTGTTGTTTTGGTCTAGGATGAAAGGAAGCACTGTGTATGTTTATGTTTTTTTTTGTTCTGGGGGTTTTGGAAGCTCGAGTGCTCCCTTCGGCCTCCCCCCAGCACCTCCTCCGTTTTCCCCTTCCTGTTTCCCCCTCCTTCTCCTCCTCTCCTTGTTCCTCCTCCTTGTTGCCAAGCAAGAGAACACCAACAATACACAGTGTCTGGCGCCCTCGTTGCACGGAACCCCTGTGCATGTTTGATGTGTCTGGTTGTTTTGGTCTCGGATGAAAGGAGACACTGTGTATGTTTGTTTTTTGTGTTTTTGGGGTGTTGGAAGCTCGAATGCTCCCCGCGGCCTCCCCCCCAACACCTCCAGCTTCTCTTCCGGAGCTCCAACCCCTCCCCCAAAAAAACGCTGTGTTCTCTTGCTTTGCAATAAGGAGGAGGAAAGGAAAGGAGGAGAAGAAGGGGGAAAGGGGAAGGGGAAGAAGGAGGAGGTGCTGAGGGGAGGCCGAAGGGAGCACTCGAGCTTCCAAAACCCCTAAAACAAAAAACACGAAACATACACAGTGTGTCCTTTCATCCTACACCAAAACAACCAGAACAATCAAACATACACAGCGTTTCCGTGCACCGAAGGCGCCAAACACTGTGTATTATCTGTTGTGCGTTGCTACAGAGAGGAGGAAACGGAAAGGAGAAGGAGGAGAAGGATGATGGGCGAGGAGGAGGAATTGTGTTTGGAGAAGAAGGAAAGGGAAAAGAGCAAGAGAAGGAACCGAGGAGGAGAGAGGAGGAACTGATGACGAGGAGAGATAAGGATGAATGCGAATCAAGATGAGATGTATGATCTTGGAGGGGGGCGACCATACACATCTATATACATATATATATACATTTATATACATATATATATACACATATATATATATATATATATATATATATATATGTGGCTCCACTCCTGGCGGCGCCTCCTGCGCCGCCCCTGGCGCGCCCCGCGCGCCAGGGAGGGGGGCCCAGCGCCGATCGCAGAAATCCGCGCAGAGCTCCAAAAGTTCATTCGTACTCCCGGATTCGCCGATTTCCTGCGGTTTTGCCATGTTTGCCTAGGTGTACAACGGAGGCCAGTCCACAAGAGACCTTCCACGAGAAACCCAGCCCTGAGACCCCAGGACGTCCATGGATGCTTGGTGTGGGGCCGCCGCGCCCTCCATGGCAACACCATCGACCCCCCCCCCCCCAAAAAAAAGCAGGGCACCCTGGAGGCCAGCGGGGCGCTTCTTGGCATGGCCCCCCCACTGCGAGCGAGGAGGAGGAGGAGGAGGACGAGGAGGAGAAGGAGGAGGAGGAAGAGGAGGAGCAGGAGGAGGAGAAGGAGGAGGAGCAGGAGGAAGAGAAGGAGCAGGACGAGGAGGAGGAGGAGGAGGAGGAGGAGGAGGAGGAGGAGGAGGCTTCGCCAGGTGCCCGCGCGCTTCGCCAGAGGTGCCCGCCCACGGCGGGGGCGGGCCCCCGTGCCCTCGGGCGGCGGGCCCGCCGAGGTTTTTCTCGCCCGGGCGGCACGCCCCGTGGGGGGGGGGCGCCCCTCGCGGCGCGTGCCCGCCCGTGGGCGCGCCTCTCGTGGGCACCCCGCGCCCCCTCGGGCGCGCCTCGCGGGCGCGCCTCGTGGGCGCCTCGTGGGCGCGCCTCGTGGGCGCCTCGTGGGCGCGCCTCGTGGGCGCGCCTCGTGGGCGCGCAGAGCATAGCCCAGACAGCATCGAGACGACCGTCCCCGGACTGTTTTTTTTCTGACTGTTCTTGCAAATACCCTCCTCCTCCTCCTCCTCCTCCTCCTCATCCTCCCTCTCCTCCTCCTCCTCCTCCTCCTCCTCCTCCTGCTCCTCCCTCTCTCCTCCTCCTGCTCCTCCTGCTCCCTCCCTCCTCCTCCTCCTCCTCCTCCTCCTCCTCTCCTCTCCTCCCTAGCTCCTCCTCCTCCTCCTCTTCCTCCTCCTAGCTCCTCCTCCTCCTCCTCCTCCTCCTCCTAGCTCCTCCTAGCTCCTCCTTCTCCTCCTCCTCCCTGTAGAGGGATATGCCCGACTTAAACCAAGAGCCCAAGCACAGGCCGCCCGCAGGACGAGGAGCCGGCCTTACACGAGATGGCTCCCACCGCATAGCTTACACACCACGGCTCGCACCACGCAGCTCACACCGCATAGCACACGCGACATAGCTCGCATCAGCTAGCTTACACCACATAGTTTACACCACATAGAGTTCGCACACCACACAATTTGCACACGATCGCTTACACCACATGATGTGCTCGGCACTGCCTTCCCCTCCACAGTGCAACAAACCGCTCTTCGAGGCCCACGCTGGCCAACATCGTTGCTTCATCGGCTCAGCAACAAGGAACAGGAAGAGGAGAGGGAGGGAGAGGGATGAGTATGCACGGGGGGGAGGATAAGCCCGTTGCGACAACATGGGGGTGTGCCCCCTGATGCAGGAACTAAGACACTGAAAGGTGGAGCGCCCTGTCCCCAACCTCCATCATCATCAGGCGCACTGAAGTACAGTCGGGGCCTTGACCTAAGGAACCCCAAATAAGGAACGAGGCCCCTTTCTCCCCACAAGTTAAACTTCGATGTCCCATCGAAACCCTAAGCAAAACCAAAGGCAAACTGCAAAAAAACTAAGGAACACCGAGCCCCTCCCCAACGAAAAGGGTTCCTTCTTCAGGGCCCCGACTGTAAGTGACCAGCATGGGCTCTGCAAACGAGTGTGAACGCACATGCCACCTGCCCGCACCAGCCGCCCGTCCTGGATCCTGCAGCTGGGGGGCAGGTGCGGTGGCCGACTCCCTCTCGGAAAACGGGCCTGGCGACGTGCGAGACTGCTGCTACATGCATGCGAAACTCTGCATGCCCGCCCCCCCTCCCGGGACGAACTGCTGCAGAACTTCCTCGTCGAAGTTCTCGAGGACGAGGTAGCCGCCACGAACACCACACTCGCCCAAGAAACCTCACAACGCCGCACGAGTGCAAGCACGTGGGGGGTTCGAGCGTGGATGATTATGGGCCAGCGACGTGGAGTTGGGCTAGTGAACAAAGGTGTCAGAATAATGAACAAATCCGACGTATGTACGGCACCGTTACGGATCCTTTCGACCAGTTTGCAACACGACTACCACTAGAGGGCTTAATTTAGATCGGTTGATGGGCAAGCTTGGTTAACTCCCGAGTAATTCGTTCCACGCAGGATACGTTCAGCCTCAGTCTCGCACGCTGGCTGGCATGTGCAATTTGCCGCACTGCTGCTGGACTTGCTTACCTGACCTGGCTTGATCGTGCTGCAAAGAACCATAAGATTGTTGCCAGGCTCGATGGTTCACACCTAGATCGCGTGCTAATTGGGCAACCACAATGGGTTGAAAACCAGACGGAAGAACAAAAAAGCGAAGTTCTGTGCAACACGTGGCCCTGTGCAACAACTGCGTCACACCACAGCGGTGAAAACGAACAATGCGCGTGAGTGCTGGGATGTTTCGCCAGAAGATCTGGCACATCGATCTACCCTTGGCTGGACATCGACGCATTGATGCCAGGGGTTCTCATGTATATACGGCATCATGAGCCAGATCAACATGCCATAGACGTTGTCGAGTCTACCTTTGGGACGGGCCCAAGCCATGCTGGGGAGTGTAATTGCTTGGCTGGCATCCACCCCTTGGCTGACATCCCCAACACAATTAGAAGGCACACGACAATCCAATTGACGTGGAATATCACGACATGCACCGCGCCTGAGAATAATTCCCCCATCGTTTCGAAATTGGCGGGACACACCACAAAAACAGACTGGCAAATAGATCGTAAGCAAATGGCGCGTGCGCTGTCTGGTTACCCGACCAATGCCGCGCCTTGGGCCACCTCGCGTTGAGGCGTCGGCACTCCTTCGAGTCAAAAACAAAAACATCTACTGGCCGCAGCCGTCTCCGCGACCTGTCAGCTTCCGCGGCGCCCGCCGGGAAGCGCACAGCCGCACGGCTGGGAAGAGCGGGGCCCCGCGCTCAGCGCGCTCGGGGGTCGCCCGCCAAGTCCGCACACCCACTACTCAGAGGCCGTGCTTCCACGACGCGCGGCGCGGCCCCAGAATGCTCCGACCCCCTTCCCCACGGGCCGGAGGCCGCAACTGTCGCCGCCGTGTTCCTCGGGCCGCCGGGGCGCCAGGACCCTTCAGACAACAAAAGGTTTTTAGAACATGCGTTGGTGGGCCTAAAGTTGTGGATGCCACGACAATGGACACCCTAATAATCCGATCGTTGAATTACAAATGCGCTGAACATGTAGGCAAATGCTCTAGACATGTTTTAAGCATTTTTTTATTCCGGCCGGTAACGCTCGTTACCCGGGGGGGGGGGTCGTGCCCCCCGGGTAACGGTAACGCTTGGGCTGGGCGGGGTATGGCGAAGCAGGGGCGCTCTGCGATCGCCATAGTATGCGCGCGAGCAGCACTCGCTGCCTGAGAGCACCACAGTGGCTTGCGATTCGAGTACAAGCCCAAAGCCCGCCGCGTGGTCCCGGCACCACGCCCGCGCCCGCGCGCGCGACGACGATGATCGACGAGCGACGAGCGACGAGGTCGACGACGACGACGACGACGTTTGCCGCCTGTTTCGGCCTCCGGAGGCCGTTTTCGGGCGCCGTCGACGACGACGACGACGACGACGACGACGACGACGACGACGACGACGACGACGACGACGATTCGAGTACAAGCGCAAAGCCCGCAAGCACCAGCATCGCGCATGCGAGCGCCGCAATGGCCTGCGAGCGCCCACAGTGCGCCTGCGACCACCACACCACAGTGCGCATGCCTTCGGGCACCAGCATGTTGGAGGGGAAGACCGAGACCCCCCCCGCGTACGAGCGTTACCGTTACGGGGGGGGGGGGGGGGGGAGAGGCCCGGGTAACGAGCGTTACCCCCCAGAGGATAAAAAAACAATCTCTTGAAACCTGTGTAGCACATGTTCTAGACACCTTGAGATCATTTGGCAGCACGCCTCCTCTCCGTCGATCGCCCTCCGCGAGCTCAAAACGCAAGCCAGGACGCTTCGCCGCTGCTCGAAAAAGGTACCGACACCGACGCCGCCCTGGACCTCTCCGGAGGTGGAGGAGGGAGGAGGAGGTGGAGGAGGAGAAGAGGAGGGAGGAGGAGAAGGAGAAGGAAGGAGGATGAGGAGGAGGGAGGAGGAGGAGGAGGAGGAGGAGGAGGAGGAGGAGGAGGAGGAGGAGGGAGGAGGAGGAGGTGGAGGAGAAGGTGGAGGAGAAGGAGGAGGAGGAGGAGGGAGGAGGAGGAGGTGGAGGAGGAGAAGGTGGAGGGAGGAGGAGAAGGAAAAGGGAGAAGGAGGTGCGCGCGGACCGGAGCTCCGAGCAAGCCCGGCCGCGGCGCCGAAGGCTCTCCCGAGGGAGCCCCACAGGGGAGGCGAGCGGGGCGAGGGCAGCGGCGCCTTTACTTTTGAAGGGGCCCTGGGACACACAAAAAAGTAGACACAAATAGAAAGATTCCCCAGATATTCCTGTATTTTCTGTGTTTTTGTCTTCCCCCCCACTTCCCATGTCTTCCCATACTTTCTCTGGGGAATCGACGATTCATTGTGTCTGTGTTTTTTGTTCCCTCCTGAGCTTCTCAAGCAGGGGGCCGGCTGCAGAACTGATGCGCCCCAAAGATGCCGTCCCGTCCGTCGGACCCACGAGAGAAGACGCAGACTCGCCCGCAGATCCACGGAGCACTGTGGGCACGTCTCGTGGGGTCGTCGGGAAGTCAGTTCTGGGGCAGATCGCTTCTGCAGCCGATCCCCTACAGTCGGGGCGTTGACCTAAGGAACCCTAAATCAGGAACGAGGCCCCTTTTTTCTTCCATAAGTTAAACTTCGATTTCCCATCGAAAACATAAGGAAACCCTGAGGCAAGCTGCGAAACAATCAAGGAACACGGAGCCCCTCCCCAACGAAAAGGGTTCCTTCTTCAGGGCCCCGACTGTACGCGAACAGTTTCCTGCTCGGAAGGCGAGGCGCGCCCGCGCTTCTCCAGACGTTCCCAGGGCGGACGCGCAGTCGCGGCCGACGCCGCCCGACAGACGCGCCGCGTCGCCGGGCGCCTCGAGCAGACAAGCGCGTGGCTCACTGCTCGCAGAGCAACTGCTCGCAAAAGGCCCGAAGCTGCCGCAGGGGATCCCTCGCGATCCACAGCTTACTAGCCTGGAACATATCCCTATCCCTATGCTGGGCACCTCCTCATCACGATGCCAATCTTAGGGATTCCCTTATTTTTTGAGGGCGGATCCCCAAGATTGTCATCGCCTTTTGGCGCGCCAACCTTAGGGATAGGGATACGTTCGAGGCCGGCAAACAGCATCATAGCATCGGGGAGACATGTTTTTTTTGTCTGGCGCCTGCGAGCAGGCACTCTGCGAGGCGGTGGAGCGCGCTCGGGCGATTGCGGGAGGCTGCGCGCGGTGCGGCGCGCCGCTGGCGCCCGCGCCTCGGATCTGGGGAACCGCCCTGGCGGCCTTAAATAAGGTCGGCGAGCGCCCTGGCGACCTGAAATAGCGTCGGCGAGCGCCCCTGGCGACCCTCAATAGCGTCGGCGAGGGCCCCTGGCGACCCTCAGTAGCGTCGGCGAGCGCCCCTGGCGACCCTCAATAGCGTCGACGAGCGCCCCTGGCGACCGTCAGTAGCGTCGGCGAGCGCCCCTGGCGACCCTCAGTAGCGTCGGCGAGCGCCCCTGGCGACCCTCAATAGCGTCGGCGAGCGCCCCTGGCGACCTTAAGTAGCGTCGGCGAGCGCCCCTGGCGACCCTCAATAGCGTCGGCGAGCGCCCCTGGCGACCCGAAAGAGCGTCGGCGAGCGGCGGCACGGCCTGGCTGCGCCGCCCTCTGCCCCGGAGAGCGCCCTCTGCGGGCCCGGCCGCCCGCGGCGGCGCGCGACGCAGCGGGCCAGCAGAAGCGGCAGAGAGGGGGCGGCCAGGAGAGGAGGCGTCCAAGAGGGGGGGGGGGCGCAAACCACGGCCAAGGGCACGTGCGCGGCCTGTGGGGGGGGGGCCAGGGACGCACTGAGGCAAGAAGAGGCGCCATGAGATGTGGGGAGATATCATGGCCCCCGCCCCGCCAAGAGATCCCCCCCCCTAAACATCACCCCCCTCTTTGCCGTTCTCGAGACAAAGCCGTAATCGTTTACCGGTTCCGTTTTGCCGTTTTTGTTGCCGGTTCCGTCGCCGTTTTTACTGACGGTTCTGGTTCTGGCTCCAAGGAGCCGGTTTTTCCCCGTTTTGGGTCGCCGTTGTTTTAACTGCTTAAATCTTCAAGGAGCACTTTTCCGAAAAGGGTGAAAAACGACCCTGCCGTTTCCGGGGCCCAGTAAGGGCACGGACATCTCCCGTTGGCCTCGGCGGGCACTCCGCAAGGATGGCACTGAACAGGCCGGCGGAAGGAGCAGAGCGAGCCGACAAGTGGTGGGCAGGGTCGTTCACCGCGGCAAGACAGTTGGAGAGAGCGACCGAACCGAAACCGAAACCGAAGCAACACACCGCAGATCAGATCTTGGGAGAAGGTCTTGATGAAATGTTTCATCCATCACCGAATCGGCAGGCTTTTCGTATGGCTGCTGATCGTGGAGCTGGTGGTGGGTAGCTTTGTTTGTCATGGGGCTACTCCAGAAATCGGGTGCTCCACGCACCATCTTCTTCATCAACATATCCACGCCAGCACCGACATCGCAGCCAGCCGAACCAAACTGAGCGAAGGCAGCCGACTGCGACGCAGCCGACATGACCGAACTGCGAGGAACCTTGACAGCCGAACTGCAACCCAGGCGTCCAACGTCTTGCGAGATAACAAAAAAAAATGTGTTCGATGTTCTCGGCGTCCGGGGTCCGTCGAACACTCCTGGGACGAGCACCAGAAGGCAGAACACGAGACATCAGCGGTGTGAGGGCGAGGAGAATTGGAGGCAGCGTCCGTC